GGAGAGGGGGGGTTACCGGTCTGCTAGAGTGCGAGATGGGAGGGTGGGGTGGCGAGGGGGTGTCACTGTACCGCTAGAGTGCGGGGAAGAGCGAAGTAGAAGGAGAGAGGTTTACCGTACCGCAAGAGTGCAGGGGGGCATGAGGAGAGGGGATTAGCATACTGGGTAACACTTTATTTGAAGGGGTGTGCATAAGACTGACATGACACTGGTTTAATACACCTGGATCCAATGATGGCTTGTTAGAAGGCCTAAGAAGAACATTGACATACTGAAAAGGTTGTTACTGCCACCAGAGAGAGAACTAAAACATGAAGGATGTCGGCCCTCAAGGAACGACTTTGGGGACCTGATCTTACCATAACTGAGAAAAAAGGTGAATTTAATTTATTTTTTAAAGAATTATAAATTTATTTTGGGTGACCTATGAAGTCAGCTAGTTGCACTTGAATATATTAATAAGTATCAGAATATCAGTATAAATGCACACCACATTTTTCATACGTTCACTTCAAAATTATCCACTATGTGTTGGTCTACCACATAAAGGTCCAATTTATATATACTCTTGATTGGAGCATAAAAAAATTCTGGTAATTGTTAGTTTAATTATGTGATTCAACTAAGTGTTCACAATGCGGTTTAAATACCTAGCAGAGGTGTGATAACTGCTGACGATGTCACCACTGCATTGACTGATGGTACTCCAGTCCACAACAGAAGATGGAAGCTTAAAACGAAGAAAAGACACATTATTGTTAATCCCTCAAGTCAGATGTGCAGCCATTTATTTATGCATCTTTAATTACTTTTTGGTAAGTATCGTTTTGAAGAGGGTTGCTGCAGAGTTTACAGGTTTTGCTGGGGCTCAGGTAAGTCTTCAAATCAATCACGTGAGCTCCTTTTCTCTGCATTGTGACGATATCAAAACCTTCCCCCACCAGGTTGTGGCCTGGTACAAAAGGAGCAGCATCACACTCTGTTTGGGTCCCGATCCGACAGGACAGAACAGAGGAGTGAACAAGGAGGACGCTTAGGAGAAGGAAAGCTGAAGTTGAATTGGGCAGCATCGCTGTAGACAGAAGCAAAAAGTTACAGGAAAAAGAATTAAATTGTTTTTTACATAGTGCATGGCATTTTCCTTATTTTTATGAAATATTTATACAACATATAAGAAAGTTAGTTAACACTTTATTTGAAGGGGTGTGCATAACACTGACATGATAGTGTCATAAATATAACATAACACTTGTCATGAATAAGTTTTATGTTTAATAAGTTTATGACTGTTGTAATTAAGTGTCATTTGGTAAATAATGATACTTTTACTGCAAAGCTGACATTATTCAAGATGTCTTTGTTATGACAACCTGACATTAACCAATTAATTATCAAAATGTAGTAATGTAATAACACACAAAGATACATAACATTTTACATTTTGATAATTAACAACTATCATGAATGATGATTCATGTTTGTCAAAGTGTTACCGAAAGATTTATGCTAACGCATGCAAAAATTAAAAATACCTGATCAGAGATACATATGTAAAAATGTACAAAAAAGTTCAAATGCATGTATAAATTAAATGTGGAATTGTTTCAATAAATATTTAAATGTATTTAATACATGGGTAAATATGTTTACAGTGCCATTCATTTTAACAGTACAGCACTATTAAAATAAATTCAGGATCTGCTGCTAACACAGGACTTTAATCTGAATAGAATACAAGTCAGACTTAATGGTTAAATATTGTTTAAGCATATTGTGATTATTACATACCCATGTACATTTAAATGTTTATTGAAACAATTACGCATTTAAATCATACATGTATTTCAACTTTTATGTAAATTTTTACATTGTGTATCTCTGTTATTTATTTTTTTGCATGTGTTAGTGCAAGCCAATATCACATTTTTGAGTTAGAGCGTATTTGTTCATGGGAGCAGCAGCTAATGATGGTGAAACATTAGTAAAGAGTTCTAGATAACACCAAAAGGTTCAGCCAGTAGATATTTGTGAAAAGAACAAACACTGAAGCTCATTCATTAATCTGATTTAATTCCCATTTTCTCATTCAATATATTCCTTTTGTCTTATCAGTAGTTCGGTTACATGCCAGTAGAAATAAGTTATTCACAGAATAATTCAGCTGTAAAGTTGGGCTATTTAGTGAATAAATTCTCAGACTCAATTAGAAATAAGCATGTCGGTGATCATTCCTTGTGTGTAAAGTTTCTTCATTCCCTCATTAGAAACTGAGCTTGGCTTTAATAATGAATAATAAATTATGGATTTCAATTTGTAGTAATTAAATAAGACAAATGTTGACGTGAGTTCTAAATCCCAATTATTTTGATGTCACCTTGTGAGGTTGCTACAACATTTTTGGTTTCCACAATTTTGATTCCCAGCAATGAATCAACAAATTCAGCTTTGGAGATCCACAGATCTTTGATTTCAAGAAACAGCCACAAACCTCCACCATATTAATATCAGTGAAATTAAAGTAACCAGAAAATTGTCCTCTTTAAACATTTTTAGAACTCAGTAAACACACAACATTTTTATTTGCTGCAGTGTATTCTAAGCAAAGATACTCTTTTTTCCCCAGTTAATTTTATTTTCCTTTAGCATATTAAAAAGTCTTACCTGTTCCAAAGCAGACCGAAAAGAAGTTGAAACAAGCAATGTTTCTAAGTGTGCTGAGCTGAAAACTGTGGTTTATGAAGCAGCAGCCCTGGAGAGATAAGGATTCATACAGAACATTGTCTAAAGGTTAATTGAATGTAGTTACTTTGTTTCTTGTTACTGCTGGTAATATTTCAGGTTTTTTATTTCGGCAGCGTTCTGTATAAAGTATCTATGCTAACAGAACAAACAGTTCTAATGAACCCTTTTGTTCCGGTAGGACATGCAGTTCTACTGGAAATGCAAAAACGGAAAGGTTTAACAGCAAGGCAGAAACATGCCTTGCTGTGGTGAGGTATTATAAGGTAATACCTCACCTTTTACCTTTAACTATCCATCCTTCCTATGGTATTTCTGTTCCATTT